ATAGATAACTGTATTTTATCTATGCCTAGGCGTTATAAGGCAGTTATAGACGCTAAAGGTTAGTATACTAAGTACTAGTTAGCTATTACTTATTATATTATTTTATTTTAACTACTTTTACTATTTTGCAAAATCTAATTATTTGTAGTAAGTAAACTAATACTAAAAACCTCAGTAATTCTTTTACTAATATAGAAGTAAAATATATATTATTTTTGGGTATTTTTCTACCTAGATAAAATAGTTATTTAGGCTTCTATTTATCTCTTTTTTCAGAGGTCTTTTTAGTAACACGCTGTATTTTAGGCTGCTTACTAAGCAATACATATTAAGCTTTAGTGTTAATAAATAGCTTCTTTGCTTTCTAAAACCTTACTTTTTATAAATTTAGGCCTTCTAGAACAGAAGTTATTAATATTTAAAACTATAGCCTTTTTTTTCTAATCTTTATTTGTGTTACCCTACTGTATATAAAGCGTTCTATAGTATCTTCTATATTAGAGCTAGTATTATTAACTTCTTTACTATTATACGTAGGTATAATAAGTATAATATTTATAAGTTAAAAGGCTTTTTTATTATTACTCTTATTAGATTCTTTATTTCTATTACGTATTAGTCTAAAAGAAAAGAGTAATTATAGATATAAAAAACTTATAATTACTTATTTATAAAAGTTTTAGAAGGCTTAAAGTTAAAGGCATTAGATAATAGATTAGAAGAGAAATTACTAAAGTTTAATAAGTAACTCTATTATTAGGTATATATTCTAAAATTTATATAGGCTTTACTTCTTTAAGCTTCTTCTTTTTATATTATAGACTTAATAAGTTACTACTAGACGTTTAGTACCTACTTATAAAAGAATTATATTAAGAAGAACTATAAACCTAGTTTAGAAGCCCACTCTATTAGTATTAGGTATAGATATGTTAAATATAGAGTCTACTATAGCCTATAAGTTAGAAGCCTAGGTAGACTTTAGCGCCTTAGTATAGGAATATACTTTTAATTAGTTAGCTAAAGTAGTATTAGAGGTTTCTAGAAAAGTTTATATTTAAGCTAGAAATAGAACTAGTAGGCTATATATAATTTTATAAGTATTAGCTACCTAGTTACTTACCTATAAGTAAGTAATACGTCTAAAATTAACTATCCTAAGTATATAATTAATTAGTAGGTAAAATAAAAGAAATTTATAATAAATATTACTAATTACTATTAATAATTAAGTATACGTATAGTCTATAGGTAGTTAAGAGTATAGTTAGTTAGTAGAGTAGGTAAGTAGTTAGGTAGATACTAAGGTACGTATAATAAATTTAATAGTAAGTACTAATACACTAAGCTTCTAGCGTAATATATAGACCTAGCTAAAATCTAAAACTTTAGTAAGTATTTCTTTATACTTTACTAGTTTTAATTTTTATATAAATCTTCTATATTTACTAGTAGCTTTACTTACTATATAACGTTTCTACCTATAGTAACTATTTAGAAATTTACCTTTTCTCTTATTTCCTTTTACTTTTCTAATAATATTTCTATTCTCTGCTATACCTATCTATTAACGCCTCTAGATTTCCTCTATACCTAGAGTTATACTTTATAATTATAGTTTTAATCTTATTTATACATAATTTTAAGTATAAAGACTAGTAATTAATTAGCTTTAGTATTATTTAAACTTATATAGATAGAAACTCCTTTATATATACTTTATATAGAGATCTTAAATAGTAAGGTTTACTAAGAATTTATACCTTCTATTTAGGTAGTTAGCTATATTATTTATATTTTACTATTTTAGATTAATAAATCTTCTTATAAGTATTTCTTATAGTACTAAGAAGGTTATAGAGCTACTTAAAAAAGTTCTATATATCTCTTCTTATATACTATATTTTACTATCTATATATCTTTACCTAAGGTTATAAGGCCTTACCTACTTTTTAAGAATACTCTTCTTCTATAATACTTATTCTTATACTATAAGATTTATAACTAAAATAATATTAATTAGCCTTCTTATATATCTATACTTATTAACTAAGATATTATCTTTCTTATATCCTCTACTTTACTATCTATAAATAGTTATTATATTTACTATAGTAAGAAACTTATCCTATTTAATTATTTAAGTATAATTAGTTCTACTAGATAAACCTTATTATATAATAAAAAAATATACAAGAAGCCTATATAAACGTCTATAGTATATTATAAAGTTATTTATTTTAAGACGTTTTAGCTTATTTTTATATTCTTTACTTATATAGGTATTCTATATACTAATTAAGTAATACTCTATAGATAAAAACTCTAATTAGTTTTTTACTATATAGATAAAAACTCTAATTAGCTATATTAGAAAACGCTAAGCTAGAGTACTGTAACACTAATATACGCTTTAATAGCTACTATTAAAGTCTAATAAGTATATAATCTAATAAAGCTTAGTCTAATAAATATTATAATATAAAATTTAAATATAAATATTATATTTAGGAGATTTAAACTTATAAAAATAATAACTACAGAACTAGTTATTTTAACTATATTAAGTAATAAAGTATATATAACTCTATACCTTTTCTATATACACTATATCTTAACTTCTAAATCTTACTAGGTTAAAAGTAGACTTTTATATCTTAACTTTTACCTTTTAACTTATATATTTTACTAAGTTAAGAAGAGACTTCTATATCTTACCTTTTAAATTTTACTTAGTTAAGAGTAGACTTTTATATCTTACCTTTTAAATTTTACTAGGTTAGAAGTAGACTTTTATAGCTTAACTTTTAAATTTTGCTAGGTTAGAAGTAGACTTTTATATCTTAACTTTTAAATTTTATACTAGTAATATGCATTATGCACGTACCTATTCTATAAGGATTTTAAACTAAAATCCCTAATCCTAATATATATAGGGGTATAATATTAGTAGACAGCAAAATATCTAGAACTACAAGCTGCTACTAAAGTTGTTGCCTTATCTTGGTATAAAACGCATCCTATAAGGCTCTATTGCTATCTCGATGCATCCCCAGTCCTTGCGCAATTCGTACTGCTAGAGCAAGCAACGCCTAGCTTGATTGCGTGGACTCGGTCGAGCACATGAACATCTGCGCTTATCAGAAAAGCTGTCTCAGAATCTGGCTCTTGACGAAACTTACCATGTACAAGGTAAATGCTTGCAGAGTGACGATTGCTTTGCTATTGAGCAGATCACAGGCGGCAAGCGCCGACTCCAAGATGTGGCGCAGGCGAGCTTCCACATACGCTTCTCCGCCCCGAGTTTGCTATAACACTCCTCTGGAGTTAAAGTCTTAACGGCCGCGAACGCGATTGTGCAGTCAACTGCCCTCAAGCTATTGAACTTCAGCCTTTGTGTCCTCGATTGGGTCAGCTCTTCGATACCTTGCACAAATGCAAGTGCTGTCGGCTCGTGAAGGGTTCTGCAGATCGGGTGCACACATGCGAAGAAGACGGGAACTAGGATGGCCCGCTCCTTCTTGTTGATATCGGAGAGGTCCTCTTGCTGGTCCTTGACGGTATTGCAGAAGATGAATGCGGATAAAATGTTAGGCTGGGCGGGGAATGCTGACCCAGCGTTGGATTGTTCTGGAGTGTCGTCGAGCGATGCGCTCTTCGCTTGTCCCGCAGATTCGTCAAGCTGGTTCCAGAACGTCCGGTTGTTCGAGCGTGCATTGTCTTGTCTCTGAACGAAGGATGCATATTGACTGTCCAGATGTTGATGATCATCAGTCGATGTGTAGGTTGTATATGTTTCAGCAGATGTAGGCGCATTGATTGTGGCTTCACTGTGGCTACTGGCACCTTCGTCTGTCTATTTTGTATCGGTCAGCGCAAGGGACTAGACGACATTTCGGAGCGGAGATTCATTACAGGCCCGCGCTTCCTCTTGACGACTCACGGTCTTTGTTGGCGCTCCGGGTACATATAGTGCAATCCAGCCTTAGAGCTCCTTCTGTTTATCTTGATATTTATTCTGTTATCTTTGCACTAATCTTACGCATACGCTGTACAGTACTGCGCGCCGCGTCTCGTGTAACTTCATCAACTCCAGCGCCTTCTGCAACCTTGAGAAGCCTCTTCTTCCAGAACTCCCAGCGTTCCGATGGCTGGTCGAATTGTATCATCTCACCATGGGCATCCCTTTCGTCCCAATGCTTCAGCTCACCAAGGCCACTGCAGAGCCTATCGCCGTTGTGCTCCACCCATTTGCTCGCAGCGGGCATATGGAACTCCGGTTTGAGCTGATACTCAGCGTCGGCATCGCCAGCTGCATCGTGCGCGTCGTCTGGGTTAGGCGTCCGCTCAAGCGTGCGGACCATGAATCGAGGTGCGCGATTCCCTGTGTTCAGTAAGTAGGGTGCGCCGATATGTCAGAGAAGAGAGGGATTGTTCACACTCAAAGATCCCAGCTGCAACAAGTCGAGCTTCCACATCTTGTTGTTTAATGTAGACCTCACATTCATGCCTCCGCGAGGCTGCGTCTTTGGCTTGTCTTGCAATCTGTCCAGGTGTTCTCCAGAAAGCGTCGGACCAGATCATCCGAAACCAGGGAAGTTCTGCCCATGGCTCCGGCTTTTCATCAGCGTCGTCAAGGAGTTCACCACAGTGGATAGCGTCGGTGACTTTAGTCATCGCTGAAAGGAGAGTGATAAGGTCTGGTGTACGAGAGGATGGCCATTCGATAAGTGCGTTCTTGAGTAGAGTCCATAACTGGCTGAGTGCTACGACGTGGTCGGAGTAGCCTCCACCATCTTGAATCGGCGACTTGGAGATGGGTTGAGTGATTGCAATGGCGGCCTGTTCTGCGTTTGTCTTGCCGTTATAGAACTTCTTTAACGCCGCCACTTCCGCGCCGTAGCACTCTTTATAAGCATTCTTTTCGTAGCGCTTCAATTGTGCTTCAAACCACTGCTCATCAATGGACGGTGAGCTCTCGGCATATAGGGTGTATAACATGTTGGCAATCGTAGTGTTTCTGCCGTACTGCAAAGTGTAATTGATGTTCTTTTGAAGGCGTCAGCTTGCGGACCCCAACGATGACGTCAAGTCGCCTGAGAATCGTCTTTGATTTTTGGCGGCATAAGCACCGAACACCAGCATTTTGGGACTCAAACCTTATGCAGCCGTGAATGTGGATACAAGAGATAAGCGCAAGGCAGAATGTTGTGATTGTGGGTAGTAAGTCATTTCAGGACATCCACAAGCGTTTGTCATGAATGCGCACTTTCAAGGAAGACTAAAGCGCAACTGAAGAAGACATCTGGCATATATGTCGAAAAGAACTGCACACAGCTGGTAGATAACCTTTATGGTACTGTGACATCGACCTTTGGCCACCTTAATCCAACTCTTCGTGATCATGGAAGGGCCAATGTTCGTCTAACTCCTTCCGCTCGTCCTCCGTCTCCGCAGCTTCCAGCATTTGCTGTTTGATATATCGTTCTTTCTCCCTCGCCTCTTTGTAGGATTCCGCTGGCACCCATCCGTCAATGTTGACTCCAATGAAGTCGCGCAATTGCTGCATTTGTGCATCCGCAATCTTCTGCTTTGCGTCGATATTGAGGCAATTTGTGACATCTGCGTCAGGATATTTGACGGGAAAGTCAGCTTCTTTCATTGCTGAAGTAGCAATATCGGGCCAGTAAGTCGATGTTTGTACTAGTTCCGCTTTGAGTGATGTGTTGTCGCCTTCCCACGGTCTGCCAGCAGTGTCATAGAGTCGGTTTCGTACAATGAGGTCATGTTTTCCCATTGCATGAAAATGGGGCTGATTGTTGGTACTGGTAAATCCCAGGTAGAAATAGTGGAGCTGTCGTCGGCGATAGAGCTCTAACTCATTTGCCTTCTCGCTCTCCTCCAAGAGATCGAAATTCGTAGGCAGCTCTGGACGTCGGAAATTCTCCGAATCGTCATCTCCATAGTTTTGGAAATGCTTGGGAATCTTGGCTTGCAAGAACATCGGAAGTATGGTGCTATGTTGCCAGTCGATCACTCCGGTAATGTCGCCAGATTCAGAGACGAAGATGTTGTTAGGTGAGAGATCTGGGTGTCGGATCGTTGGTTGACATAACTCCGAATTTTCGGGAATAATGTGTGGAGCAACCTTGAGGTAATCCCTTAAGCTGTCTACTTGCACCTGCGGGTCGACTTCTTGACGACCGTAGAATTCTCTATAGAGTGGTTCACGGGGGAAACGTTGCTTGCCGAACTTTTGCAACCAGGCCAATTCTCTATGACCAACTGCGTCCAACAGCTCCTTGGGCGTTTCCCCTACATCCTTCCAGTTAATCAAGAGCAAACAGAATACGGAGTAAGGGTTTCTTACAAGGTCCTCGATTGACGGCCAGTTCGTCTCGCCTTTGATACCACCAAAGGAATTCAGTGGAAGGCCCAATGCAAAACCTGTCCGTTTTGCCACGATTGACAGCCAAAGGCAGGTCGATTGTAGTAGTTCGGGTACTCACAGAGTCTTTAAAGTATATGCTGCCACTAGCAGGAAATCGTATCGCAAATAGCATCCTCTCTATGTCGACAATCTTCTCCACGACAGCCATTCTTTCTTTTGCCGTCATAGTATACCAAGTATGTTCCAATTCCTTACCCTGAACCTTTTCCATGATGATATATTCAGACTGGACTGGATTGTCCGTCGATGAACTCCAGTCGAAGACTTTCGGGATCGGAACACCATGCAGACGTAGATATTCCATTGTAGCGACCTCACTAACAATACCATATTCTCGAGGTACTGTGGAAGGGTATGGAAGTCGCACAATCACATCCATCCTATCTTGAAATGTCGCTTCAAAGATACGGTATGAACCACCTTCAGCAATTTTTGCGAAGGTAGTGATGTCATCAGTGGAACGACCGACAGACTTGGCAACAGCCTGACAGAGCTCATGGATGTCGATATGACGTCGCCTTTCAGAGAGACGCAAACGCTCGTTGTACCTGCGGTGATTTCGACCTATCAATTCAAGTACGGAAATCTCGAGGTTCACTATCTACTTACAACCATCTACCAGATGTGTAATTATAGAAGGTCTGTTCTGGATCGCTGATACTCGAAGTTACCTCGCCGGCTTGTAGTGTTTCTCTCGTCGAATACAGTGCCATTTGCCGAGCGGTGGATAGTTCCTGCCGTAGGCCAAAGCAGGCGAGTGAAAGAGAGCGAGGCTTCAGGATATCGAAACAAAGTCTCCTCATGCTAGGGGTGGGTGGCCTTCTATCCGGGATTTGGGTCCTGACAGATGACGACGAAATGTGAGGTGATGTTGTTGATGGGCCTTGCCTGTTCTTCTCGGCCGCGACACTACACTAATGCAAGAAGTTAGGGTGCAAGGGCCTTGGCACGGTGATAGGCGTTTCAAAACCACCACGTACACCCCGTGATACCACGCATATGATTCACAGCCTGCGAGAAGAATCGGTTTATAGACAAGTATACAAAGCTCTCAAGACCGCCATGAAGGATAGATGCCATGAAGACTCACGAGCCTGCCTATCAGCGGAAGAGCGCATGCACTGCGTTCATCCGACTCCATGATACTACCAGCTTCCTCGCGTCGATCACTTCTGAGCCTGCACCGACAGCAAGAGAATGCAGCGTACAATTGACTCTATTCATGACGATTCAGATATATAGAGCAATTCCCGCTGTAGCCATCGCTGCGACCGCCGAAGTTTTGGCATCTGCACCATCTCGGTATGATCCTGTAGGAAGGCATTGGCTTCTAGCAACCAGAACACTGTATGCATCTGAAGGGTTATCGTGGTTGAATTTCCTATCCTGCACAGTCTGTGCGGCAGTACTTCGTAGACAAGCGTTTGATCATCTGTCAGGAGCTTCTTGAAGGAAGATATTCAGCTAGTGGCACGTTACTTGAATGTTGGCAAAGTGGCTAAGTCTTTCGACAATGTATTACTGCAGCCTCAAGTACCAACCACGTCAAGCTAGACCGAGAGCCCTACCACACGAATGTGCAAGCATAGCATCCCTCATGTCATCCTGAGTTCCTGATCCCCCGTCTCGATGGTACGACAGACACTTTCGCTCATTCCAAATCTCCGATGGCCCCGTACGGCGGCTGCTACAGATACCCTTGATCAGGTCCTCCGAGTGCTTGGTGACAACTCTGCGCGCCCTCGATCCGGGGATGGGGAGGAGGCGGCTTCGCAGCTCATGCAACCTTGCAGCAGCACTTTTGGGCGAGCTTTAGCTTGCTGCATCCGTCGCGGCTCATGTGGGAAAACCCCCGTGAGCCGCAATGATTCTCGCACTTGCCGCTCCAGAACGTCGCGCACTGCGAGGCGAAGAAGCAGTTGTCGGCGCGGGCTTCGATGTTCGCCTCGGCGGCGACCATGTCGCTCGCGCGTGGCGCGGCGAAAGCGGTGGCCGCGAGGGTTGCAATGATGAGGTTGAGCTTCATGGCGAAGGTAGGTGGGTGTTGAGGAGCTCGACTAAATGATATGTTTGCCGAGTGTGGATGTGATAGTAAGGGCTGTAGCTGATGATGCGTTTGTAGAAGAGGTGAGGATGGATGATCGAATGCGGGAGAGCCGTGGCATACTTATACTCCAATCCGGGCCGGTGATGTGTTCTAGACCAAGTAGTTCATATCCTCAGCTGTAGTTCACAGTTGTTCTATTGAGGAAATTGCTCCCAGGAAGCACAGCATGTACAGGCGTAGGCGGGAGAAGGCTGGTGTGCTCGTCGAGGCAGTTCACCTGCATGTCCTCAGCTGAAGCTCGCGAACCCTTCTATTCAGGGGATGGCTCCGGGCTTCATCGTATCTGTGTAAGGAAGCACTGCATATGCAGGCGTTAACGAGAGAAGGCCGTCGAGGCATGTCACACACTCTCTAGTGCGGTTGGAAGTAAATGTTGTCCTCAATCAATCACCGACTTTCGATTTTGTCAGCTAGGGACATGAAATCAGGCTTAGAATACTCATAGGGCCAGCGTCGCGCTTCTAGTGGTGTTTAGAAAGGAAGAAATTAATCTCTGCACCGTTTGTAGCGTTGTTGATAATCTGCCCACCATTAGCTTGCTTCTGACTATTTCGACGCCACCAATGTTTACCCGATCCACCTAACCAAGCCACATGCGGAGCGGCACGAGCGGGTACCTCTGCGTCCGCAGTAGGGAAGACTCGATTAACATCATCGCAAAGAACTCCCTCGTTGTAGCGGTGGAGAATTTAATCAAAGACAGTAACTAACACGAAAACATATTGCTACTCCACGTTTAACAGGCAACAGGAAACCCCACAGCAAATAACCAAGTGTCAAAAAACCCGATGGGCGTGATTCAAGACCTACGGCGTGTTACACACATATCAGAAGAGCATTATGACAAACTCCCCCGCCAACCCCGCACCCCGCCAAGCTCGAAGAACTTGGCAGTCCCCCAGATGCCGGGGCGACACGGGTGTCCAATACAAAATTTTGACTGGCTGCGAGCCCTGGTGTTGCCCTTGTCACGGGAAGGAGCACCAACGGACCGTTCAGGGGAGGGCACTGTACGTGCATACCAAGTGGTTGGAAAGGCTAGCAGTAACCACCTGTTCCAATCTTCTTCTCCCATTACTGAGAAATAACTCCTATGATATTGAGAACAAAATTCCTTGCGATTTGTTCTCAAGGATTATTGTTTTCAATCTATACCTAACGAGGTTTAATCTGCTATCCTGATTTATAACGCGCTTGGCAAGCTCAGAATATGAGATTGTTATATTGAACTTAATCTCCAGCGCCTGTCCGTCTCAAGTTCTCTTTCGTCCTCATTTTCTGCTTTGAGCATGACTCGCGACGGCCCCCGGGATCCCCAGATGTGGGTGGATGGTAGCTTTGCTCTTTTTGTTATTGCAGATATCCCCAATGATGTAATCCTTCAGCTTCCAAGTTCTAGTTGGTAACGTCGAAGATAAATGCTAATCGATACAGGAAATCAACCGCGTGATTCAAGAGGCCTACGATGGAAGCACAGTCAACGCATATATGTTTTGGCTCGCGGACGATGCTGCAAACGCTCCCCTTCGAAACAAATATGGCGAGAACACAAGAGACGACACTGGGACGGTACCACCTATTGATGAACATTGGCGGTCACCGTTCATAGGGAAAACAGCTCTAGACGCAGTATCTTTTCTGAAATCACTACCGGATGATCGCAGCATCGACTGGCATTACTTCGCTGTTTTAGGCTCGGATTACAAGGGACGAGGAATGGTCACGATATACAGGATTGGAGACGTGAATTTGATCGGCGAGGAGCTCGAATCTCTTCCGTGTTCAGTTGCGGGTTCGACATTGTTCTTGTCAGCGATGGAACCAGACTACTGGGAGGAAACCAAGAGTAACCAGAGGAACGGTAACGATCCTGTAGGCTGAGTAACCTAGCCGTAAATTCGATAACAGGTCAACGATCTTTGTAAGACAATTTAGAACTACTTATTCAGTATTACTATTGCTCGCTCGTTGCGGACCTACATCTTCCTGAAATGCTCACTATTGCAGTCGTCCAGGGTGTTCGAGATCCAGACTGCCTCCATGCCGCCCCAGGCGGAGGTATTATATATAACGAGATGGGGTCGGCGGGGTCAGTGTAGCTCGCATAGCATGGAAGGCTCGGAACAGACCACGCAACGAGATTCTGCAGGTCAATGTCACATGGAAGGGGTTACTTTCCAAATTCTGACCGACCGAAAAAGGTATACTAGGACGACAAGTTCAGTCATAACCCAGATAACTTTTCCATGTCATCCTCCAGGAGAGAAGTAGTGAGGCTCACCCAATTTATCATGGAGCGCATGTTTGTGCTAATCCCTGTTATGGAAAATTGCCGTCACTGGTGCGGCCTCAGGCATGAGCTTTGCTGTAGCACAGCTATTTGCATCACGTGGAGCTTTCATCTCACTTGCGGACATCAACGAAACCGCTCTGAAGCCAGCAATTGAACCTTTAACAGGTAGCACGCAACAAATGGTCACGGTTGTGGACGTGTGTAGCGGCGAACAGGTCGACAAGTGGATCGAGTCGACGATGCAGAAATACGGTACGTTTGACGGTGCTGTCAACATGGCAGGTATCATTACAAAGACGACCCCAATCACTGAGTTGACAGATGCGGATTGGGATTTCTCGTTCATGGTCAATACCGAGAGTGTGTTCAACTGCTTGGGAGCTCAGCTGAGGGCTATGAAAGAAGGTGCAAGTATGGTGAGTCACTAATCTACTTTTACAAAGCCTCGGTTGGTAGAGAGACTTGTAGTAACTCGGATGACAGGATTCTGCAGCTATCATCTTTGGCCAGTTCGGCGCGCCTGGCAACGCTGCGTACTGCGCGAGCCAAGCGGCTGTCATCAGCTTATCTCGCACTGCTGCGAAAGAGAACCAAAAGATCAGAGTGAATTTTGTTGCGCCAGGTAAGACAGGAACCATATTGTATATAATCCTAATTTGCTCATTCTATTGCGTTCCACTAATGCGAAGTTTGAAAGCTCCGTCAACACATCAATGTCTCAGGGCGAGGAGCCGGAGGATGTAAAGAGAGGCTTGCCGATTACTGCACAGGAAAGGGGGGCTGAACCAATTGAAGTAGCTAACGTCATTGCGTTCCTTCTAAGCGACGAGATGAGCTTTGTGACGAGTGCAGTCCACAATATTGATGGTGGTTGGGTATGTTGATGATAGCCTCCATCAACGAGGCACGGACTTGCATTAATTTTTCTCGTTTCGAAGTTGTGTGCTCAACATTATCTCCATATTCTTCGAGTTTTATCTATCTCGTTTGAGATGTGTTCCAGTGAGTCTTTAGATTTCCAAGATGTCGTACTTTTCGATGTTACGTTGAAATTCACCTGAACAACATGAAGTTAACCTGGCATTCCCGGAGCTATAAAAGTCCACATAACATAGCCGAGTGAGTGTTTTAATGTACACTCAAAACCGGACGCTCAAGAAACCAAGTGTGAATACTGGTACAATGAAAGTAAGAAAAACTCGCTTCATTGGCTACTTTATATGGAGAATTGTACATGTGGAAAGACATTATTTATTGATATCTCAACTCAATACGCCCGTGTTGGATTTACCGTCCCGGAGTAGTGAAAAGCGCTCATCAACATCAATGCCAAATCTTTCCTTCCCATCAACGCCAATGTTCCATCCTAGTTTATACTTCGTGTTCTTGAACAGCGCATCAAATTCGCGATCATCCATCCACTGCGCTTCAGGTGGTACCCTAGCCAGCATCTTCGATCCAGCAACAAGACTTGCTTGTGCCGCGATGCTGCACGGACTTTTTGGCAGGATATCTGACAGGCGTAGCGTGCACACCGAAATAAACGCGCATATCATCATCCATGCAAGTAGACTTTGCAGAATACGAGTCGAGGCTACATTCTGAGCTAAACGATTGATGTAGTCGGTCGCCGTGGCGCGAAAGAGTGGATTTTCAGTAAGCAGGGTAGTGTTCCGGCCTTGAGCATCAATGGTTCTTGCGACTACCAACCCGTAAATCTCCTGGATTCGGGCGTATAGGTCGTCAAACTTGTCTCGCTGCGTAAGTTTCAGGTTCAAGGTGTTTGGTGTTTGGCTACGGAGGAAGCTGCTGAAGGGACCATCGAAATTTGCGTATTGGACTAGCGTCGCATTGGAGTTGGATTGTATACTCGGAAAGACGTTTAGTAACTTCAGTTGTGCGCCCATCCCTGTATAAACATCCTTTGAGGTGCTCTTGTCGAGGGATAGGGATTCGATCTCCCAATTCGGCATTGAAATGTAGATCGATGCCTGGGTTTCTTGGAATGCGCTCCAGCACTGTACAACGTTTAAATCCGTAGCTTGTCCACCTAGCCAAGTCCCGTAGATACCCCACGAATTCGGGCAATCGTGAGCTGTGCTAAAGGCAGTTGACCACCGGCCAAATGGTCCATCTGCTATACCCATGACAAATTCAACACTCTCGTTGAGGTAGCCCTTACCTGTGCAGTCCTGAGTTATATCTGGCCACTGAAAATACATCTCATTGGTCATATTAGGTTCATAGATCACATTGGTCTTCTCCGGAGCTACTAGGCTGCAGTCCAGCGTACCCTTCTGTACTGGAGTTTGTACTTCGATCGATGTGATGTTCAACTCTTCAAGCTCTGGCGGTGACAACGACATTGAAGGAACGACGTATGGGCCGTGATGCCCAATAAGGTCGTCCAACTTCCCGTAAGCGGCCAGACGGGCGGTACGCGTTGTTGACTCGTTGCTAAGCTGAAACACGCTTCTGGGCGGACTGAAGAAATCCATTCGGTAAACATGAACAACAGATTGTCGAGCCACTAGTATCGTAATGTACAACCCGGATACAGCGACTGTAAGGAAGGATGCGAGCATCACACTTAGTGATGAAGCGCCTAACGAAAAGCGTTTGTTCGTCATGGCTATCCAAAAAGCATCAGTTTCCACGTATATATCGTCTTATCAAGTATAGCTGGCGTTGCCGCTACCGATCCTTTCTTGAGTTGGACGTAAGGATCGAAGATTCGATATTCAAAATCGAAGCCAGAGAACAGGAGCTTAGTCAAAGCCATAACTAACGCAGGAACGTAGCTGGTTCCCATCTGTATTTGCTTTATTTTAGTGTCATTGACTTCAAGGAGACCATTATTGCTACGTGATCTCTGCAAAAGGACCTCGAGGGCAACAATGAGCCCTAAAGGTACTACAAGCAGCGCCAATCGAGAGTACCATGAGAGCATGAACGGTTGCCAAGTCTTTTGCAACATTGGCGATGGCGGAGAGCCGGCTGGTCCATGTTTTTCTATTGCAAAAGCGTGGGTCTTTGCCTCGGAACCTTCCATGCTCGTTCGGAGCTTGCTCTGATACTGTCCCCCGAGCATGTGTCGAAGGCTCTTGAGCGGCCAAGACCCGGTCGCTGACAGCAGATTCACCAGATCGTGGCTTTGAGAAATAGCTGAAGAGAGACGAGCAATCGAGGCTGTGTCTTGTGGTGCTTTGTTGAGAGATCTTCGAAAAGCAAGAAAGATCGATATCGATGTCAGGGCAGCCAGAATTGATTCAATAATGCGTAGAGGCCGGATTCGGACGAAAAGTCTCTGATGACTATGAGACAATCTGCTATTGAGGTCTCGATGAGGCTTTGTCGAGTTGGAAATCAGTAGGTATTGTTTTGCAAGTTGAACAGTGAGACCCCGATAGACAGCATTCGCCCCCTTGGCCAGTAGTTCAAAATCCGACGCGTCATGGATTGATGTCGAGTTCTGGGATAACAACATCAGCCTCACAAAAGATTTGAAACCGTATCTTCGTGTGTTGTTGCTGTAAATCTGTGCCCCTTCGATGGATGGAGCTCGGTCCACAGCAGTCCTCACAGCATTGGAGATTTGGTCGATGGTGGGACTGTCCGATATTTGCAACGGTACACTGTTGTCTACACTGATGACTGCTCCAGACTGATCGAGTGCGACAGTGCTTTGTTGGATCTTAATCGACGGTTTGCAAAATAGGGTGGTACTATTTGTCAGGATCGGGCCCGGACTTTTGTACAGACTGACAATCACAATACGATTGCGGTCTGTCCCCGTATCGTCTCCTTCGCATTGTTCGAGAAAGGCATCCCCGTACCAAGAACTATAGTCGAACTCGTCTTGAGGACCCATATTCCCTTCTGTGGCACTAGTTACTGTCAGGGTTCTGTTCTTGGTAGGAAAGGCAGCGATCCGGCAATCTGGGGTTTCAGCCGCCATAGTGATCCAGTCAGTCCGACAGCTGCTTGCGGGAGGACATTTGAGTTCAACTTCGCTATTCATGATAGCTTCATCGCATTCAAGTTTTGCTGTAATCGTGTTCACGCGGGCCATCAGGCTGTATGAGTTTGCTAGTGATCAGTTAGTGACCTAGTTATCTCACAGCAGGTTCGAAAGCTTACAGCTGATGTTTATAGACGGTTTGAACAGCTCAACTGCATATTCTGCATTGGTACCCTGTGGAACTTTGATCTGCCTGAGCAGGAGGCTCGTGTATATCGACCCGGCCGTATCGTTGACGCTGGTTGCGTTGAAGCCGTGCAAATGGAACTGCTCAACCATTTCCAAGTTCACCGGGATCGGCCTGTTGCTATATTGTGAAGTGAGAAGACCAGTAGATAAAACTATAATGATCTTGAGAAAGGATGAGCCTAGAAGGACAGCAGAGATAGGCCAGTGTTGGCGCTTCAGTGACGCTAAAAATGATGTCATGGGATGCGGTGATATGTAATCGAGGAACAGATTCTTCGATGCTGGCAGCGGCCTCCTTGCTAGTTCTTCCCAAGATTGCAGCTGTCGAGTACGGTAATCCACTGGGGTCCAAAAGGCAGCAATGAGTGTAAATACTGGGTTTGTCTCAGTCATTCAGGCCTTATACAATACTGAACTACTGTACCTGCAGTAGGACCATATGTCCATATATAGTGTAGGTCTGACTCAATCGGTCCAAACCCATGCTTGCCGACTGAAACCTTGAGTACTACCTCCAGGCTCACGATTAGAAACAGGAGTACGATGCTGATTGTAATAAGAATCCAGCGTTGAAGCATAAGTGGAGTCCAAGGTTTAGTCTGCGAACTGAATTGTGTGCCATCGGCTTCGTCGTCTTTCACCTGCGCAGTCGGAAGGAGAAGCTGTTCTGAGGAGTGCGGGGCGAATCCTCCGACATACTCGGTTCTGGGTGACAAGGCTGTCAGCGGAATGGGTATAAACCTGGCTCGCATCGTCTTGACAAGAGTGCGGTTACTCTAACGCTTCTGATGCAATAGCGTGGAATTCCGTTGAAAATAACTCGAAGGATGTCGAACGAATGTTACACAAGTAATTTAAGTTGAATTCAACAAGGCTTCAAGCCAAGATGGATGCCTAGCCTCACCAGGGTGTTGCTTTATGTGCATATATTGATGGGGGCTGACAATTTGTTGTGCCAATTGTTCGCTGATCGAACGAAGTGTTTGATTCTACATAACGGCACTAGTGTGTCAAAGCAAAACGCCACTATGGGATGTGAAGCCACCGCATCGCTAGTTGGGTAGATTTGTTGCGTGAGGCGAAGACCGAGAACGCCGTTGTAGCAAGGACACCCAACCCATTACACCTCATTTCGAAGATCTTCATCACTATTAGCCTGTGGTGCAGCCCATTTCTCTCGCGCTATAACGTAGAGAGATTTGAGTGTGCGTTCTGGTCTCGTGTAGATCTGGGTAGCAAGACAATGTCTTCTCGAGTCTCATCCTAAGGTTTGCGAGCCAAAGCAATGCAGCTAAAACCAAGGCTGTCCCCTCCTTCATCCGCGTTCAACTTGATGATCCTCTTGATGCCCATGTCAAGCGCTCGCGCACTGAGAACGTCCTCGTCATCAGCAAGACTTCCTCTCTCCAGAGGACCCTTCCTCGACCCTTCAAGCTCCCAGAGCTTCCCACCGCTCTTGACAAAACTCACAAAATGCCCACCTTCAAGCTCACCTGTCAGATCCGCATAGCTGTCGCCGGCCAGCTCGACCGACTTGTGAGCAAGTTCGAATGGCTCGCTGTTATACAGCAATTCGGCGCGTTTGGTCATGTCCAGCGGTATGGCGAGGCTTCGTATCGCCGCAAGATCGGAATCACGCTTGATAAAGCCGACGGCCGGACCATTAATCAAGCTATGTAGCAGACCAATCGAGCCGCAGGCGTGGCCGATAGTCTGCTTGAACCAGATGACCGGCTCGTCAGGACCGGAGCCAGTGTAGGGTTCTTCGTTAGCGTCTTCGGCCTTGCGACTTCGATCCCAAGCTGGTGTAAGTGGAATGATGACCAGCAGAGCTAGGGCAGGCCGAGGGATATGTGCGAGGTGTTCGAGTTCATCCAGGGAATAAACGTCGTAGAATTGGAGCTTGGACGATAGACCCAACTTCGCTGCCAATTGGTTCATTACATCGGGATTGTTCTCTGCCATTTGCGATGAGTTTCTACTCAAAGACAATCGGTCCATAAGGGCTTAGGTCCCTTACCAAGCATTACCCATGTCTTCTTTTCCATCTTAGGGAATCAACAGATAGAGGACGTCGAAAAGTCAGAAACGTTGGCAGGAAGGAGATAGTTCTATGACTCAGATCCTGCGATATCTAGACCATCACAAATCAGGTTGCCTGTGCCCTAAATGAAGTCGTGGGATGAATAGTTCAGATCCACGGTGATGTGGGAACAATTCGTGGACGCCTGACCCCGCGCCTACAGAGACCGATCGGCAGCTCAGCTAACGCGAGCAGCGGAATGAGGGCGCCAATCTCCAAGATGCCTGGCCCCACCGGACCGTTGCTCCGGGTGCATATGCTAATGGTGGCTGACCCAACCCCGACCTATTTACCAGCGTAACGCTATCTTATGCACTCTCTATCTCTCTCCTCTATGTCCTCCCTATCTTCTATGTCCTCCCTATCTTCTATGTCCTCCCTATCTTCTATGTCCTCCCTATCTTCTAT